AAAAATGACGTCTTCCTAATTATGATAGCGGTTGTAAATCCCGCAAAGCAAACATGAGCAGGAAAGAAAGTGATAAGCCCAATCGCATTTTCTCACTTCATTCTTTGCTTTCCCCTTTCTGTCACATTCCCACACAAGGCGAAACCTTCATCCACACTCCCACACAAGGCGAAACCTTCATCCACATTCCCACACAAGGCGAAACCTTCATCCACATTCCCACACAAGGCGAAACCTTCATCCACATTCCCACACAAGGCGAAACGTTCATCCACATTCCCACACAAGGCGAAACCTTCATCCACTGAAAGGAAACAGAGTAGGCAGAAGAGACACAAGCAAACGAAGGGAAGAACAGAAAAGCAAACATCCTCATGCAAAATTTAAAAATAAACACCTGCTGCCGAAATCGAGTACACTGTTGTCACACTGTCAATACCCGAAAGCAGGAACAAAATGCAAATTCAAAACAAATGATCACCGTTATGACACACCCGGCACCAGCACCGGTTCCTCCGAATAGCACCATCGTTTATGCCCAAAAATAGATCATTCACGTGCTAACGGCATTCATATAGACTCGCCACAATGTAGACACAAGAGAGTGAAACTAAAAATAGTCCATGACTACGGGGACTCAACTGTGACAACTGCTCATAAGGGGGCGCTTTCTGGACGTGGTTGCCTAATCTGCATCCATAGACATGGCCCTCCTCAACTGGAGCGGCCCATAGAACTTCCTTTCGCAATTGTCGTGGGTACGCTTTGCATACCCTTTCTCCACCAGCTTCGCAACAATCCAGGCGTACTTCTCCGTCCTACCCCTCATCTTCTCCCTTCCTTTTCTCTTCTGCTGCAGACAATCTTCCTCAAACATGAGTCGCAGCAGATCGAGACTCTCCTGGGATCCCCAATCAGGAGCCCGACTTTTTCCTTTCCCCCCATTTTCAACTCCTTTCATTGCCCCTCCTGACGTCTTCGTCCTCCTCCGCACCTCCGGTGATTTCAGCACATCACCTCCACTGCCCCCCTGCTCCGTCGTCTCGACTGCGGAATGACCAGTACATTGGGTCCCTCCAATGTCCGTTGTTGGTCCGGCCCATGCGTCACCCATGCTCGCGTCCACGTTCGACTCTCCGACTTCCACGTCATCCACATCGCATGGCAGGTGGTCAGTGTTGACGCCGATTGATGACATCACCGGCGGGCGAGCGTAGCGGGTGGAGGGCCATCCATCCCCGTCGATGAGTTGAAGCCACCCCCCTCTTCCAACCAGGCACTATGGATGTGATGTGTTCCTCGCTGGTTGCAAGACTTCGCCGACCCCTGCGTCACCAAAAGATCGATGCAACACAGGCATAGATGCCATCCCCCATGCGTCATACTGCGTTTTGTTACCTCCATTCCTCACGGCTGGCCATCCAGCAGACACAGGACCTGAACTGCTACCTTCAGCGAGGAGGGAGGTCATGCTGCGTGCCGCTCTCCCGGGACTGTGAACTGATGTATTAAGGTGCTTGAAAGTCGGCAGGCTGTTCGGTACTGGCAGGCGATACCGTGCCCCATCAAACCCCGGGGTCGATGGTGAGGGGCCTTGGAGAGAGGATCCATATCTGGCATTTGTCGAAGGGGGGTTGTCCTGCGCGCTTGCGTCTATCGGAAGGGCCATCGGGGAAGGGGATACACTTTGAAGAGGTTGTCGTGGTGCATCCATACCTGACGAAAAGTCTTCGCACAAGCTCGAATCCGCTGGGTACTGGTAGGCGATGGCGACCTCGACGACCACGGACCAACTGTGATGACAACCACACCTCCTGATAGGCGGCAGTGGAGGTGGACGTGGCGAAGAAAGCAGGGGCGAGGTGGAGAAGGGGCGCGACGGATATGAGGGCCAAGCGATGGTAATGGCGGATATCAGGGCAGAGCGATGGTGTACACGGGTTTTCGAGGTGGGGAAAGCGAAGATGCAGGGCCCACCAGTGTCTCACGGTACCGGCCAAAGTAGCGGATGTCGCGAGAGCCTGCTCGGGGGTGGGGCCAAAACGGTGGCCCTCCGGTGTCCCGCTTCAACGGCCACTCGGCGCAGATGTCACACGCCGCGGTGCGCCACAGACGTCGGACGAAAACCTATGTGGACCACACGGCCAACCACACACAAAAAAAGGAAGCAAAAAACCACCACTTTTTTCTCTACACAAGACAGTTGTGGCCTCTTCCATTTTCCGAAAGAACTACATGAACACAAATCATGGATGTCGCGCCATGTCCACTAACGTTTCCGCATCCCGGATGATGCAGGGCCTCCGCCGAATTATCGGGAAAGAAATCGGATCCCGCTTTTTGCCCAGAAGTACATGTCAAACAAGAAGTGGGATATGCAGGAGGGGTGTCACAATGTGGAAGATACCATGTGCGGTGGCTCTTACCATGTGGACTTGGACCGCCAGTACGTTGCCCAGATAAAAATTTTCGACCGGCCGTTAACGCGCCGCGTCGGACGGGAGTCTTCCATGTGCAAAATGGCCGTCGGCCATGCTCACACTTTTCCTTTCACCAACGGACCCTACCATCCAGGATATATTCACCATGTTGTTTCTTTCCTTTTTTTTTGTTTCTTTTCCTTTTCCTTAGATTGCCCTGCCAGTCTGACAGGTCGTTTTCGTGAAACACTGAAACGCCCTTATGCAGGGCATACTTAGGGTCTGATCCCACAGTACTTGCCGTAAGTAAAATGGTACAAGTAACAAAAAAAAAGGAGGGGCGGATGGGACGTAAAAAAAAAGGAGAGACCCCACGGTCCCGAATGCATCAGAACTTTTACGTAAGTGGTTTCCGACGCAGCCGTTAACGCGCAGCGTTGAACGGGGGTTGTCCATATGCAAAGTGGTCGTCCGAATTTTCGAGCTACAGTGACACCAAGTCTTACAGGCCGTGCTCACGCTTTCCTTTTCACCAACAGACCCGACTACGATCCAGGATAGATTTACCATGTTGTTTCTTTTTTTTTTCTTTCTTTTCCTTAGATTGCCTTGTGTGGGATACTGCGTAGCCACACGGGCCTGCAGGGCCCGTCCCGCATTCTCAGCCTAAAAGCCTAGAAATAAGGGCTTACAGGCCCCTGTCGTTTCAGCCTGAAAACTGAAAACGAGGGCCTGCAGGCCCTATTTCGTTTTCAGCCTAAAACAGGGCTTTTCAGCCCTGAGGCTTTTCAGCCTGAAACGGAGGGCCACTTTCGGTCCCTCATAAGATCGACCTACCCTAACACTCAGGCACAAAACCAGGGTTTCGGGAACAGACTATTTCTAGCCTGTTCCCACGACAGCCTCAAGCAGGAGCTGCAGCGGCAGCCCCTGACTCCCTTCGGCATTGGCAAGAGCAGCCTCCTGGACTGCCTCGCCCTGCAGTCAGGAGGCAGGCCGAGAAGTACATAGGGAGTTCCCATGCACTTCACGGGTAGGTAGTTGGACAGAAGGCAGGAGTAGTCTTCAGGATTCGTCCACAGCACTCAGGAGGAGCGCTGCAGGAGTAGCTTAGCGCTAGCAGTAGTCGTCAGCGCTGGGCGCTAGTAGCCATAGCAGTAGTCTTCAGCGCGATGGCTGGCGGAGGCCAGTGGGACTTACCTGTGGCGCCATAGCTCCAGCTCCATCTTCGAGGTACCTGCATCAAGGCGCCAACTTCACAGGTTAGTATCGGACTGAGAGAGAGAGAGAGAGAGAGTTCTTCTTCTTCCTCTTCTAAAGTCCACCATCTCTTCTTCCCCTCTCACCATCTGACTTCTCAGTATCAGCGGACTACTACAGAGAGAGAGAGAGTTGTGACTTGAGACTTGACGACATTGGATCCAGACTTGACATTGGGATTCAGACATTTTGACGAGGGACTATTTGGGCCTGTGCCGAAGACTTGGTGTTGACGACATTCCCATCTTCCCCTCGTCTTCGTCTAACCCCCCTCTTCTTTGTCTGTGTATGGTTGGGGCTGGCGCATTCTTCCTGTGTGAGCGCCAGACCCCTTCACACCATGGAATGATGATGATGATGTATGTTCAGGGCTGCATTGCAGTATTGATTGTTTGGATCATTGGTATCCAAGTTTTCCGCTGCGCTATCTTGTACTTTGTTAGAGAGGTCGGTTCTTGTTCTGGTCTGCACCTTTACAGTATGCAACAGTTTGGTATTGGAGCGGACCTCTCATTCAGAAGACCCGCTCAATCAAGTAGCCAGCTTGCTTGATCTATTGATTACTCATTAGTAAATCAAGTAGGACTTCGTCAAATCTCTGAAAATTTTTTTCTTTTTCTCGCAAAAACTATCTGAAAATTTCTGATAATCACATTTCGTTTTACCTGAAATTTCTGATATTAGTATTTCGTTTTCACGCAACAAATATCTGAAAGTTTCTGATAA